TAAGAAACCCCACTGCATCAAAACTGTGTACATAGATCATTGTTACTTAAAAGCTTTTCATTCCCTATTACAGGCATTTCTTCTGTTGAGCTAAACTGGAAAAAATTGTGAAATCTAATGGTTTCCAACCAGCATTCGCAGATTTGCAAACATGTGAGAGTTGCAAATTCCTTCTGCGCACAGATTTTCTCCTTAAATGTATGTGTTGCAAAGCCTCGAAAATAAGAGACTGCATCAAAATAACATTTCCGTCGAGTTTGTTAGGTTCACAGCTTAAATCCTTGTCCATACATTTTCTTCTCTGCACGCATAACCAATTTTAGCATGAATTTATAAAATCTGAAATCCATTATGAGCTCCAGAACTCCAAAAGTGCCGTCTTTTTTCACAGCGCGGAAAACAGCAGCACACCCCTCCTCGTATCGGTGCCTTTTTCACTTGTAGAAACACCATCTGCAAAGAGTTCAAGTACCTTTTCCTTCAGTCCTTGACCTCTCCACCACATCCAGCTCTCAACTGGCAACATGTCCTGTGGGGTGCTAATGGAGTCATTACGCACAGACCGCCTGATAGCCATGAGACAGGAACGACGCGGTGCCGCGAGCCAGGCTGCGCGTGTGACCGACAAGCGAAATGCGTTACAGTCCGCCGCTAATCCCTTGAGCCTTCCAGTTGTTCATACGCTTCTGCTTGGTACGTCTTCGCAGAGTCAAGGTGAGGCTTCCACACACAGATTTCAATGCTGGGATCTCCTGCGTTACCTGTCCACGCGCGCCTTCTAATATATTCACATACTTTTCTCAATACATAGTGCCTTGTTTTCAGTTTGCTCCTTTGATTTTAACTGGAGAGGAGGTTTACGCAGGTATTGCTAGCAAAGTGACAAACCTAGCTATATAAGAGCCAGTTTGGTAGAAATGCTTCTTCCTTTAGGGAAAACTGACATTTGTTCACCTAAAAATTTTCTCAGGCCTTGGAGGTCTGGGTGAAAATTCATAACTTCTCGAAGGAGACTTTGGCAAATATTGTACTTCCAATAAAATGTCACTTTTCCTATTCAAAACAAATGGGAATGTTGATGGGTTTCTACTGACCAAATCTAGCACTGTATATTTTATTAATCTTCCAAAATATGTAGACTAATATGAAGGAAGATTATTATGGCTGGTGATTTCAGGACAGCAACTGCCACCTATAATCTTAATGTAATTTCATTTTATATGTGTATGAGTCCTAGGCTGGGGCAAGGGGGAAAGCTCTTCAAAACACTGAAATCATTCCAACAGGAGCATAGCGATAAAGGCACATTCTACCTGCTAGAGCCTTGAAGGCATAAGGTACATAAGGGGTACCACTCTCTGGGGAACCAAGGGGCAGTGATACAGGGTCTGGCATCACACCCTTCGAAAGGGTACAAATTCCACTTCATTCTGCACTGGCCAGCTTCAGGAGCCAGCTATGCCCCAGACTTGTGCTTTCGCTTCCCACTGCACCTTCTTCTTGTTTAAGAGTTTGTTCAAAGCCAAAGCATAGTATCGGACAATGTCAGCAGAAAATGCCCTTAGGGAGCAGAGAAAATGCAGTAGCAGACCCATATAATCAAAGGAAGTACATAATACGCATTTAGCCACTATGGGTAACTGTACTTCACTGTGAATATTTTTTTATTTTTCTGCTATTTCCAGAAAGAAGAGCAACTAATGGTGTCCAGACCACTGAATTTCAATCTCATATTGTACTTTTCATAGACAAGTAAGAATGAGTTGGTCAAGAGACAAAGAAAAAGCAAAGGGAAGACAAGTTCTTTAACAACATCTAAGCATTCCTAAAAATGTAGAAGCAAACACTGAGGAGAAAAACAGCATTTGTTAAGTCTCTGCAATATGACTGTAGCTAATTTTGGAAGAATTACATCTAAAATTATATACCATATCAAATAAAGGAATACAAGGGTTTTGATGGTAATGACATTACCTCTCACATTACATGAAACACTGACAATGCTGCTCAAGATTTCCATTTTTCTTTTCGACAGATTTTTAAAAAAAGTCATCTCACAAAGCAAGCACATAGCATAAAAATACGAAAGCTTCAGCAATCATTTTTAGTACATGATTAATATTAATGTTCTATTCATATACCATGGCATAAATTGGGTATGAAACTTCAAGGGGCAACATTTGTCATTCTGTTAGCAGAAGTTTTCATATTCTTGACTTACGGTATCTTGACTTTCTTATCTCCAAGAAAAAGAATAACTGCAGTGAAACACAAAGTGTTAAACTGTTTATATCAGGTTTTTAAATTCCAACCTTAAATTCAGTAAGTTAAGAAGGAAAAAAAACCCCACAAAACCACATTCTAAATCCTTCTATGCAGCCATTAAAGTGTTACATCCCAATCACTGACAAATCTGAGGAATACAATGTGGTGCTTAGAATATAGCAAGAAAAAAAAAAGGAACTTTTTGCAGTTCCTCGCAATAACATATAAAGACACGGGTGTTAGCACAGTAACTCTGTGAATTTTGCACATATATATGTGAACTGTTCGGTAAGAAGCCACAGAAAGTAGACGTATGAAAGATTTTTCTTAGCTCACTCGCTGGGACCACTCTGTACGTTGGTGGTAAGACAATGTAGGATGACCCAACTCTGCTACAACCTGCGGAGCAGTGGAAGAGGCAGCACGGGGAATCAAAGGTCCCAACGTGCCAAAAACTTCTTCAGTCCCGCAGCAGGAGGAGTTACTTCTCGTAAAATTGCTTTTGCTAGCAGGTCCAACACAGTCGACACAGCGTATCTACGCATTCACCTTTTTCACCAGCAGCCTCGGCAGCCTTTCCCAAGTTACCATGCAGCACAAAGCATGTGTTTGTAACAGCAGAGTTTAAGACTTCTCCAGCTGTTACTTCAGTTAGCCTTTATACCATAAATACTAGAAAAGTGTTTTGCAATAACTAGTTACTCCTTACACACACAGAATCCCCTCCAGTTCCCCGTTTTAGCACGTAAAGAAGGCAGGATCAGGCCTTGAAAGTTCTTCACCAGAGGCTCGACAACCCTTACAAGTGGAACAAACACAATCTAAAAAGAGACGTAGATCTCCCCCTACCTGCAGAGTCCTTCATCCTCCTGCCCCAGGGAATGATATTCATGGACACAGCTACTACCTCAGGTCTCAAACACGAAATGAACTCGGATCTTACAACCTGACATAGCTGCAGCATGTCAAATAATTCAGACTGGAAGTGCTGGGACCCCTCGACGACACCTGCTATTGAGCAAGCTGATACATTTAGCCTAAGAGGTTTTAAAGACAATTTGGATACACCTTTCTGCGCTGGTTAAGAAATGAATGATCTGCTTTAACTATGTCCCAACAATGGACTATCAGACCAACAATACCCACCAAGATACTATCAGTAAGAAGTCTGTGTACAAGTTTCTACCTTGTCATCCTCTCAAGGAAAGAAGCACGAGGTGACAACATGCAGGATTTTCTTTTTCATCAAGATCCCTGACAGCTCTTGCAGATTTGCCTCATCATGTGGGGAGGAAAATGCTAAACACACCCAGAAGAAACAGAAAGTAAGTCTTAACTACAAACCCACTCTTGAAAATCGCCTTGTACAGTTGTAGGAAATGGTATTTTATACGACACGCTTATCATCACAAATTCGTTTGAGCTTTGTCATCATACCTGGCTAACACCTCTCTCAGAAAGTTCAGGTTTGGTTTTGAATGGAATAAAAAATGCCTATAGAGAAGCAATACTGCCTAGCAGGTTTCATGAAGCCTAAGGCTTAGTTAAAAGCTTTTATTTATTCCTTATCTCTAGCAATCACTTCTTCCACAGACAGGCCGAGTTCACTGTAACTGATCTACTTCAACTGGAACGTGGAGGTTCGTTTAGGCAATCAGAACTGGACGCCTACATCGCTAAACCCAAATACACAGACAGACAAGTACCATAATTTATCACACTCAAACTTTGTTTCTGGTTTTCCCCAAGCATTAGATCCTTCTTACAGCTGGGTTATGGGCTGCATCGCATGTGTTTAGGGAGGAGGGGACAGGAGAAGGGGGAAGACAGCTCACTGTACGTCAATGCAAGCCAGCAACCTAGCAACCATATATTAAAAGGTGTGTGTGTTTTTGTGGGTGTCTGTGTGCCAGGAATAACTGAAGCAGATATTATTCCGTTTGTAATCCAAAAAATGTGAAAAGGGAAGGGGAGAAACTCCAGCTGCTGGTCTATTTTGGGGTCCGTCAAAATCCACTTTCACAAATACAGAGTCTTAACACTTTCTATCCCATTTGTCTTAAACAAAAAACAAAGTCCAGACCTGAGCAAGTTCTTAGCTTTGGTTTGAAAGAGACTCTTCAAACCAGGAGCCGACCTTACTTCACGTACTACGCCTCCTTCCAGCTGGTAATACGCAAAAATCAAAGGGGCACAGAGGTTGCCTCAAAGATTTTGCACTTCGGTTAAAAGAATATTGATCTAGCACGTTCCTTACCAATGCACTAAATACTTCCAGAGATCTACATTTAATTTATCAAACAGAACCGTCAGAGATTCTCGGGGAGTGGAACTAGCTTTAAGAAGATCTACTTGACTGAGAAGTGTAGCTTTTTAATTTTGCCAAAGTTTCTCATTCCGTCAGAGAACTGAGAGTTTCGATTAGCAAATAAACACTCCCACCAAGCCACCATACACGGTCCCGGGGCGCGCATCGACTTCCGACCCACACCGTCCCACCACACCAGCGTGTGCCTGACCATGAGGGCGAGCCAGCACCAGGCGTAGCTTTTGTGCCGCCGGATGAAAGCGTGCGGTGGGAGGGAGCAAGGGGGACAGGCGGGCACATCTCAGGGGGGCACCCAACACCTTGCCCCTCCGGCCACCGCTCCCGCGTCGCCCTGCCCCTCCTCACCCCCACCGCACCAAACCCACCACCGGCACCAGGGAGGGGAAGGGGAGGGGGGGGGAGTTACCTTGTTTTTGACCCCGCAGTGGCAGCAGACTGTCCACAGGTACTTGAGGGTCCTCCACAGCAGGATGATAAACAGTCCCCCAAAGAAAGTGACCATGGATGAGGCGAGGAAAGCCCACCACATGCGCTGTCCGCGGCTATCGCAGGGCACCTCCATGGTCACCGGGATGATGAGCGCATCCATCTTGGGCACATTGACGGGGGAGGAGGACGAGTCTGTGTTGAGATTGTTGGCGTTGATATTGTTACTCATTCTAACGCCGCCG